TCCGTCAACTCGCGATCGACGAAAAGGACAACTGTCCCCTCGCAGCAAATGTCCTCGGGAGAGACGTATACGTAGACGATCTACTGACAGGAGCAAACACGTACAACGAGGCAATAAAAATTCGGGACCAAACAATCGAGATGTTGAAACGCGGAGGACTCAACATCCGACAGTGGGTGTCCAACCATCCGCGACTCCTCAGCGGACTCTCCGCATCGCAAATCCACCCGAAGGTTTTTGGCGATCCAACAATAAAAACCCTCGGAATATCGTGGGACTCACGCCGCGATAGCATTATCTATGCAGTCGACTCGAACCCCAACCGAAGGGTCACGAAACGCACCGTTCTGTCCGTAATCGCGAAAATTTTCGACCCATTGGGACTGCTCGCGCCGGTCATCGTCACCGCAAAAATCCTGATGCAGCGATTGTGGCAACTGCAGTTAGACTGGGACGAGTCACTCCCAGCTCTTTTTCATACGGAGTGGACTACGTACGTCAAAGAATTGCCGCGGTTGGAGCATGTTCGGTTTGAGCGACACGTGTCTCAACGCGCGGCTAGACGTATCGAGCTCCATGGGTTCTGCGACGCGAGCGAACGAGCCTATGGAGCTTGCATTTACATCCGCACAATAGATTCCGCGGAAAACATCAAATCTCAATTGTTGTGCGCAAAATCTCGAGTCGCACCGTTAAAGACCGCCACTCTCGCTCGTCTAGAACTATGCGGTGCCGTCCTTCTCGCATCACTCTACACGACCGTACGCGACGCACTTACTTACCGACTCGACAAAACATACTTTTGGACTGACTCGACAATCGTATTAAATTGGTTACAAAAGGAACCGAATACATTAAAAACCTTTGTAGCCAATCGCGTGGCAGACATACAAACAAAAACCGATATTACCGCGTGGAATCACGTACGGTCGAACGACAATCCGGCAGACTTGGTTTCGCGCGGACAGACACCATCGCAATTCCTCCTTGACTCGATTTGGCGCCATGGGCCTACTTGGCTCAGCCACCACCGCTCGACTTGGCCAGAATCCGGATTCGTCCCCTCAGCGGAGGTGCCTGATTCGCGAACGGTTGCTTGTTTCGTGACACCCAGCGTGCAGGGTGACGAGATCCTGCATAGATATTCGTGCATAAAACGGCTTCGACGGATAGTCGCCTACTGCCTGCGGTTCAAAAGAGCTTATCGCGTAGCCGGACCGCTATCAGTCGAGGAAATCCGTCGAGCCAATGAACGAATCCTGAAAATCGCGCAGGCCTCGGCATTCGCGGCAGACATACATCGCCTCGAGTCCGATCGCGACCTAGAGGCGAAGAGCAAATTACTACCGTTACACCCGTTTCGCGACAAGAAAGGAATTCTTCGGGTCGGAGGCCGATTACAGAATTCCGATCTTCCTTTCGAGCAAAAACACCCGGTATTGCTGCCCAAAGGTCATCATGTAACCGACCTCATCGTGCGCCAAGCCCATCTCGACGGCCATCATTCGGGGATCAATTCCACCTTATACAACATTAGACAACACTACTGGCCCATCGACGGGAAAAACAGGGTCCGGAAAACTGTTCGACGGTGTGTCAAGTGTTTCCGGGTAAACCCTCCACCAATCGACTACCTGATGGGCAATTTACCCACCGCGCGTGTGACGGAGAATCGCCCATTTTACAATAGCGGGATCGACTATTGTGGCCCCTTCACGATCGAGGAGCGCCGCTACAGAAATCGGGCACGCGTTAAAATATACGTCGCGGTGTTCGTTTGTTTTGCGACGAAAGCCGTCCATCTTGAAGTAGTCAGCGATTTGACTACAGAAGCATTTATGGCCGCCTTAAAACGTTTCATCGCGCGACGTGGCCTTTGTCGGAACCTTTATTCCGACAACGGCACAAATTTCGTAGGTGCCAACAATGAAATAACCGAGGTCTACCGAGATCTCCAAAAGAGCGAAAGGGTACAACGTTTCCTCGCGGACAAGGAGATATCGTGGCACTTCATGCCAGCCCTTTCGCCCCATTTCGGGGGTCTCTGGGAGGCCGCGGTTAAGTCATTTAAACACCACCTGAAGCGCGTCGTGGGTGAGGAACTGTTCACGTTCGAACAGTTTAACACGTTCGTCATCGAGATCGAAGCGATATTGAACTCCCGTCCATTAACCCCACTTTCCTCCGATCCGAACGATCCCTCCGCATTGTCTCCTGCCCACTTTTTGATTGGCAATTCATTAACGAGCATGCCAGAGACAGATTTCAAGGACACGGCTACCAACCGCCTGTCCCACTGGCAGCACATTCAAAAGGTGAAGCAGGATTTTTGGACTCGGTGGCACAAGGAATACATCCACCACCTCAACGTGC